GGACCCACCCACTGCCCCCCCGCCACCGCCTCAGCCCGGCGAGCTGCAGGAGCTGCAGGAGCAGATCGAACAGATGAGGGAGAAGCTGAGGACAGCCCTGGCCAGGAGGGCTGAGATCCAGACCACTTTGGCTAAACCTGTCCCCACGGTTACAAATGACCCGCCTCCAGTTACCACGACAACATTGATAGGTGCCCCGCCCACCTTCACCCCGCCCACTGTCACCCCAATAACACCCCTCCCTGCCAACACAAAGTGTGTGACAACCATGACAGACCCGCCTCACAAAGTCTTGTCCAAAGTTCGGCCCTTCAACAGCAGACTGACCAATCAGAGGAGGTGATGCTCTCTGTAAAAGTTACATGACTCTCTGCACATGGCAGCCATTTGAAACTGCTGAGAACGGAAAATAATGATTAATTATTCATTTCTTTTTAAATGCCAAAGCTCGTAATTATTTCTATTTTTATTCATTATTGAGTTTTGGAGATTTTATTTTATTTTTCTGTTTCCGGGCTCCTTCCAGTCTGTGGCCACATTATTATTATTTTTATTATTATTATTATTATTATTATTATATATACACATATATATTTAGATATTATCAATAAAATCACAATATATGTGTTGATGAGAGTTACCCACATTGTGGATGAATTCATGGAATGTAATATATTAAGAGGTTTTTTTTAACTATTTCATGCATAATGCATAAACAAATTAGTAATTTGTACCTTTAATTAAATTATTATTTCTTCTTATTATTAAATTTTTTAAATCAGATGCAAATCCAGGGTTTTGCTCAGATTTGGATTTAATGTGAAAATTAACAAGAAAACCTTAAATTAACAAGCAGGTTGATTTGTAACCTCGTTTATACATCTAAATGATCTTTTTTTAACTAATTAAGTCTTATATCAAGCAGATGATGTCTTCATGTATGATCATCCATCAGTTCATCTAAACCTTAATATATTACATCAGTATAATTGATCTGTTGTTGGTAAACCTGTTAAATATCTGAACACTGAATAAGAATTCATTTAAAATCTCATTAATTAACAGAAGTCCTTAATTACTCCTTAAACTTGTTGATGGATTTGTCAAATCTTTCACAAATTAAGGGAAACTCATGGATTAGTTTTGATTAATGATTGATTTTATAATTGACACTGATTTAGATTAAGGTATTTGCAGGTGTACGTTAAGGGTTAATTAAGGGGATTTTAAGGGATTCTTGTCCCAGACTTACTGGGCCACAGACAGGAAGTAAAATATGATATCAGGAGCAACAGAGGACTCAACATTGAGCCCTGTGGTACTCCAGATCTAACACATAAAATTCTTTGTTTGGTGAAAGCTGTTTGATCCACTTACTGTCTCTTTGGTTCTTAAATCTTCAGACCGTTTCCTCCTCAGACTGCTTAAACTGGCCGCTGGGTGTGGACGTGGTTTCAGGAACCTTTTTTTGTGGTGCAGATTCAGGACTACCTGTGAGGCTGAATGCAGCAGCTCTGCAGGAGCCTCAGAGGATAAAAAAACAAAACCTAAAGGAAGTGAACACACCACCAATCCCAGTTTGTCTGATGGTGTTCAACAGAAACGTTGCTGCTGATGCAATAATTAGTTTGTTTGCATGTAGAGAAAAATCTGAGCAGCTTCAAGTTTACGGAGTTTCCTTAAAGGCACCTTCACCTGTCAGTAAATTCAGGTGTTCATCAAAACTGTTTCTTTTACAAACTAGCAGAGAATCCCTGAACTTTCACCTTAACTCAAACATTTAAGGTCCTTTTAAGGTTTTTATCTTCAGTCACTGTGAAACTCTCTTACCTTACAGTCCATGAATAATGATATGATTAGTATCTTAATGGGATTTCAAGGACCGATTAAAAAATCGATGAATGGGTCATCACATATAATGGATTATTTGAACAGTTTAAGTTAAAATAAAAAACAAGATAAAACCCATCACTTAATTATAAAGCCTCCTTTAAGGTATAAATGCAGGAATTTATTTAATCTTTTCACCCCTTGATTCATGTATAGATCATAGATCATAAAATTATTATTAATATTATTATAGCCTTTATTTAACCCCAAATTTATGGTGAATTTAGTTTTTAAGGGATTTTTTTTTCGTTAAAAACCACTTAAACTGTACAGGTAATCTATTAAAATATTACAATCCATTATTTATCCCCTTAATTAACCCATTGTTAGGGTTAGGGTTAGGAGATAAGATATTTTATTGGATGATCTGCACAGTTTAAAGGTTTTTTAAGTGGCAGAAAATCTCTTAAAATTGTCCAAATAACATGAAAGTCTTTCATTTATACAGTGACTTAACACAGACGGCTTTCAGGTGTTCTTTCAGTTCAGTTTTAAGGTTTTTATGTCCCTTAAAGAAAACCTTAAATCAATGTGAATAATCCATTAAACCCTTCTAACTTTATTAAAATCTTCCGTTATCCAGATGGATCAAATACATAAAGTAAAAATTATTTTTATCTGAATTGAAGCTAATAATTCATTTCAGATTTGTTCTTTCTTGTGTATGTACTTTTTAAAACATTCATGTTTTTTTAGGTGTTTTGACCTGTTTAGATTCTGGGGTTATTTAATGGATCATAATACATTAGGGTGTTTTAAGGGTTAGTAATTTGGCCTGTAGGACCTCAAGCAGATATTTTGTCATTTGGTGTTTTAATCTTCTGATGTCAGACATCATGGATCACCATAATGAAAGACTGAAAGCTGCAGTCTTTAAACCTTACTGTGTGACTTCCTGTCTCTGACGGACGACAGGACACACGGACAAAGAGCGGACAGAATACTGTCCTTTTAAGATTTCCTGTCATTCACCAGGTGTTTCCACAGGTTCAATCTACGTCTTCCTCCACCTGTTTGTTTCTGTGAGGCGTTCATTGTCCTGTGGGTTTCTAACGGTGGGCTGTGAGGCCTTCACTGTCCTGTCTGTTTCTACTGGTGGGCTGTGAGGCCTTCACTGTCTGGTCTGTTTCTACCGGTGGGCTGTGAGGTCTTCACTGTCCCGTCTGTTTCTACAGGTTGGTTGTGAGGCGTTCACTGTCCTGTCTGTGAGGATGTTTGTGTTAAACAAGGCTCCTGGATGTTTTTCTTATGTTTCTGTTCATGTTGATCTCGATATATTTTTTTGTTAAAATTAAAAAAGAAATAAGTGTATTACCAAATTAAAAGTCTTCTTGTTTTTATTCTTTTTATTTTTGAAAAACAGATTAAAAATGTTGGAATTTCAGTCAAAATGTTCAATTTAATCACCATTAAACAATTTCTTAAATTTAATTAAATTTTATTTGTATAGCACCAACAGAGCCGGTCAGACCGTACTGCTCATAACATTAACAAAATAAATAGTCTGATCAGTTTCAGTTATACAGTAATAATAATAAATACAATAAACAACCTCTGAGGTCGTTAAATCATAAAATATCAGAATTAAACTCTGATGGTTAAATGTAGCTTATTATGATGTACTATGATGCTAGCCAGAAAGCTAATGCTAATGGTAACCATGCTTGCTTTAGTTGTGACTTTACATCCAAATTAGTTTCATTTTACCCAAAGTAATTAAGTATCTGATTTAGTTACAAACAATCAATTATTGATCCTCTGGATACGATACGTCCCGGTGGACATACGGTGGACATAAGATACGTACCGGGGACATATGATGGACATATGGTGGACATAAGATACGTCCCCAGGGACATACGATGGACATACGGTGGACATAAAATACGTCCCGGGGAAATACGGTGGACATACAATGGACATATGATACGTCCTGGGGACACACGGTGGACATATGATTTCAATTCAATTCAATTTTATTTGTATAGCGCCAACAGAAGTTATCTCAGGATATTTTCAAATTAGAGCAGGTCCTAGACCGAACTCCTTTTTACATTTCAGAGACCCAAAGTACCACCAATGAGAAGACCTTGACGACGGGGGGCAAGGAAAAACTGCCCTTTTACAGGCAGAAACCTAAGGACAGACCTTCGGCTCTAGGTGGGTGGTCATCTTGCCTTGACCAGTTGGGTACGTCCCAGGGACATACGGTGGACATAAGATACGTCCCGGGGACATACGGTGGACATATGATATATTCCGGCACATACGATGGACATACGGTGGAAATACGGTGGACATATGATACTTCCGGTGGAAGCCTTGGACCAACAGAGGGGCCACAGAAGAGCAGAGATCAGGACCTGTATCGAGCTGTAAGTAAAAGATGGTTTGCTATTTAGTAGAACTCTATGATATTAATTCATGATTAATAATTAAAGTTGATCATTATAATTATTGATTTAAGAAATAAAGTAAATGTTTAGAAAGGTCACTCACAGTTTCAGATCCAGAAGTTGCTCCGCAGCTGATCAGCCAGCTGGTTGTAGTTCATCCTCCTCAGGATCTTCTGGGCCATCTCCCGGGCCCCCTCAGCGTGGTACTGCTGGACCATCAGGTCCACAGTTCTGGATCGGTCTGCAGACTCCAGCCGGCTGACGGGAACCGGATCCGACTGCAGACTGAGGAGGTATTGGAAGGTCTTCAGATCCTCCAACCCAAGAGAGTTCAGCACCCTGAGCAGCAGCAGGGACACACCCACGGACTCTGAGACACACACTGAAACAGCACAGATTATACTGGTTATACTGGGTACACTGGTTATAAACTGGGTATACTAGGTTCAATGGGTATACTGATTATACTGGTTATACTGGGTTCACTGGTTATACTAGGTATACTGGGTACACCGGTTACATACTGGGTATACTGGTTATACTAGTTATACTAGTTTTACTGAGTATACTGGGTATACTGGGTATACTGGTTATACTAGGTATACTGGGTATACTAGTTATACTGGTTATACTAGGTACACTGGTTATACTGGTTATACTGGTTATACTGGGTGTACTGGGTGTACTGGTTATACTAGTTATACTGGGTAGACCGGTTACATACTATATGATAGCAAAGCAGATTATATTTTGTGATCATGACATAAAAATTATTTCAAATAAATATCTTTTTTTATCTTCATTAACTTCAGTGTTTTTTGCCGTTAAAGTCCATGAAATCACTAAATCATTTAATGAAATTAAATTAATGATGATTTTGAGGCTCTTATAATAATTAAAACTCCAGAGTTTAGAAACATTACTGTAATATAATATTCATAGGTGTTTAATCAACTGAAAATAAGAATCGTTAGAATGAGACATTAATGTGGTAGCCCAGAACGGACAAACCAAACTGGATCTAGATAGAGGCTTAAGTTTCTCACTCCCAGGTCGT